TTATATATGGCAGAAACCAATACAACATTGTAAAGCAATTATCCTCCAATTAAAAATAAGTTTTAAAAATATCCCACGGGTCCCAGAGGAAAATAAGCCCTACTATCAGTACCAAAAATCTCTTCAATACATTTTATTTTTAAACCTATACAAATGGGAAATGCTCTGGCCTAGGAGAAATGTTACCTAGATTTTAGTCCCAAATGTAACATAGCCCAGTCGTCTGATTACATTCTTTTCCTCATGTACTAAGCAAAAATGATAATATTCACATTTGTGGCAAAATTTGCATGTAATAATACAGGATAGTGGAAGGATTCTATGAATAAATGTCATGATTGCTAATGTCCTCTCCTCCTGCAACAGTAAAATTGCAAGACATATAACTCCCCACACACACATTTGAGAATTCAGTATCCTCCCAAAAGATCCAGTCTCCTTAGAGAAAAGATCAAAGAGCACTCCACTAAATCACAGGTGAATCTTACCAACAAACAGTACCGACATTTTCTGCCTTCTCCAAATGCCCTTTTTGTCCTCTGACCTCTATAGGAGGTAGCCTCAGTCCTAGGCCTGTTCTAAGCCAGTCCTTATCAGCAGCCCCAGGCCCTTCAGCCTGTAGATCAGGTGTACTCTGCTAGGCATGAGCCCTGGAATTTCAAGTAGCCGGGACTACCCGACCTCTCCCTGACCCAAGTCATGGGAGTCCTTCAGACAGCATCTGTCTTGGCTCACATGGTTGGAGCTCTGGTCCTTTACTGAGACTTCCATCTTAACCAATTTAGAGTAGATGCCGTATTATGGGCCTACTACTGTGCTGGGTAGTTTACATACAGTGTTTTAAATACTTAAAACAATCTATGAAGTGGTGATTACTATGCCACTTTACAGTTATGAAAACTGAGGTGGTGAACAAAGCTACCTCCAACGTAGGAACTTTAGTGATGATCCCAATCATGTAAATTTAGGAATCATTTTATCAAAATTTGGAGCCGTAGCAGAAGATAGGCACAAGGCTCTTACAAAGTGGCTTCAACTTCCAGATTAAAACATGAAACATGAATGTGTTTCATATGAAGCAACTGTGCAACAATTATTTAAATAATTATTACCAAGGTTAGATGGGGGTAACTCTCTTCTCATCACCAAGAAAGTGTTCAGAGAAATGTGCCAGGCTTATATGACATCTCTGCTCTAACTAGACTTTAAGGTGACCACGCATGACACTTTCTCCCTGTCAGAGGACTGACCAAGTAGTATCAAAAGTGGAGTTGATAGATGAGGCCAATAAATGGGGAAAACATACCTCTTTAGAATGTGTTTATACTTCAACAAGTGACTATGCTATACTTTAGTTGGCATTGGTTTCTTCTGTGTCAAAAACTATAACACCAAGTATGTGACCATATTTGTGAGGAATGGTAGCACATGCCCCTGGAAGCACTTGTGCAACAGCCAAATTGCTAAGAGAATCTTAAAGGGGAGATATCAGAACAAATCAGTGTCAGCACCCTAGCAAAGCAGCTAGAGTCTACTCAAACCTTCAGACTTCAAAGAGGACAACAGTTGGTTTCCACACAAGTTCCCATCAATGTTGACAAGGTCATGGGTGTCAACCTCTGTCAGACCTTTTTCATGACTTGCTGCTATAATAATATTCTGTGTTTGGAGAAGATTTTCATGCCAAGGAACCACTCTGATTTTTTTAAATTTGCCATCAGAAAACATCAGAAGTCTCCTAGTTAAATACAGAAACCAGACTTTACATTTTTCTAAGCTTCTAGGAGATAATCTCTGCTGATATTATCAGAAAAGAACTTCTGGATGCCCTGAAGCAGAGAGAGGTATGGGTGGCCTTGCCTGCTGTAATTTGATGTTGATTTTTTGGTGCCTTCATTCTGGTTCAGCAATGGAAAGGTGACCAGAGGGAGTTTCTAAGGGATTCCATAATAGTTTCGCAGTCATCAGAATTCTCTTGCCCCAAACATGCACATTCCTTTCCTTTTTATCTGTTGCCCATAAATAACAGGCTACACAGCATAATCACCAAAGCTACTGATTTTCCAAGATAAATGAGCAAGAAACTCTGATTTAAAACTCATTGCTCCATATCAAATCTCTGCTGCAATCATCACCACTTCACGACATTGGTGAGCAATACATGGATTGCCAGACACTAATATTTTTGACAACACATTGTTAAAAGATAATTTTTAAGGTAAAATCATCTCATACAGTTATGAAAATGAATGTGTTAAATTAAAGATTTTATTTAACTCAATGAGGAAAGTAAGGAGGTGTTACAACCAATTCAAAGGAGAAGTCAAAAAAGCACAAATTTCCATGGAGTCAAGAAATGGTGAAGTGATCATGCAACCAGAGGCAAAACTAGCTTTTTCTGTAGTGGGGGAGAGTAGTCAACTGCATCTCTACTAGACAGGACAGAATTTGCACATCTATAGACAAGAACTGTTTCACACTACAATCAGTTTTTAATAATTTATAGAATTGTGAAAAGCTCATAAAAAATAAAAACCAGAAAACATGGAAAGACATCCCCTAGATAGTGTATAGTTTTTCACTGACGCACAAAGTTGTCCTTATGGTATCTGTATTTATAACAAATTGAGTTTAAGGAATCAACCAATAAGTAACCGTAAATGAATAGCCTGGAAGAATGGTACAAATTATCAAAGATCTTTCAAGGAGTGTGTCCAATAAGATTTTCCCAGTTTCTAATCATTAAAATGTTACCCCATCTTCAAGAATAAAAGAAAATACTATACTGTATGGAGCATATAGCTGATTCCAGAATACTGATTGAACCATGTTATTCCATGTTCCCTAAGGAACTGCAGTCCAAAGTTTTATTTGAGATATTATTCCATCTGTACCTAAACTTCACTCCTTTTCTTTTTAACCACAAGGGTAAGATTTGTGGAACTGAATATAAAAAGAGCTTCTGGCCCCATAACTCAAGATAATGATGACTCTAACATACAATGTTGCAAGTTTAGGTGAGATTTTAAATTGCCATATCATATTGACCAATAAAGGTCTTTCCCTAGCACCTCCTCTAGTACCATTTGACTTTGATTTTACTTTATGTTGCTTCACCAGCTGAGATCCCACAAATCCACAAATTGAAGGAAGTAATAATTCCTGAAAGTGAAAGAGGAGAGTGAAAAAGTTGGTTTACAGCTCATTACATTGTCTACAAAGGTCCGTCTAGTCAAGGCTATGGTTTTTCCAGTAGTATAGTTTTTCCTGAAATGGGTTGCCATTTCCTACTCCAGAAGATCTTCCTGATCCAGGGATAAAACTCTCCTCTCCTCTTTTGCAGGCAGATTCTCTACTGCTGAGCCCACCTGGGAAGCCCCTACCTTAGTACATTATAAGCCAAATGGAGACCAGTGGAACTACAAGCCATAAACCTGACTAATATTGGTGTGAGGCAGGATAACATTTTTTAAAATAGTAAACAAATGCAATTTTGGTCTTCTAACTGGTAGTAATTCCAGTTTCCCTGAGGCTACCTAGCCTAGAATAAGGAAACCAATTAAACTGCTCCCTCAGCTCACAAAAGAGACAGTCTGAAAACAAAAGTAAAGGATCTGAGTTACAAGTCCTTGAGAAAATACAGTGATTAATTTATTTTGAAATGCAACAGGACTTGACTTGCAAGATTTCAGCTAAAACCTAAAACACTAATCAGAGAATTTTGTGATACCTATACCAATGGTTCCATATTGAAAGAAAGGGCATCTTTTTACCCCTAGAAGGATAAAAGATCTTTCTAGGTTGGGACAAGATGGGAAGTTAAAATTGCAAGTGAAGAGTCTGTTCCTTGGTTCCCTCCTCCTTTCACCCAGAATAAAATTCAGGTAGTCCTAGACTTTCCTGGTCATTCTTAGATGATAAAAACCCCAAATGGTCACATTGAGTTGCAAACAAAGTCTCAAAAGGAATATGAAAGTATGCAATCTCAAGTAACTACCAAAACATTAAATTTAACTTCTCCCCTCTTCCAACTGAGGTCTTTTTAGGTAAGTCAACCAGAGACTGGAATATGATTTCATTTCTCCACCCTAAGCTTCTACTCCTTCTCACTTATGTCTTATTTTGCTATGTGTTATTCAACTTCTCAAGGGTCAAAGCAGGAGGAGAGAAGGAAACGGGGAGCAGGAAGGGAGAACAGGAAAGTTATTAGCTAACTGAAACTGTCATTAAATGGTCCTTGCCCTCTGATCGGATAGATGTTTAAAGCTGGCTTTAAATGTATGGTCCCTTTTAGGACTCCCTCTAGAAATCCTCCCTGGAAACATTCTCTTTTGTTTCTAGTCCTAGTGGATGCATTTCTCCCACCCTCCCCCCACCCTGCTAGTTGCTCCCCCTTGACATTCCACAGTCCATTCTTTCCCTTGGGTTCCCATCATTCAGTCCAGGCTTGGGATTTCAAAGAGCCTCAGTTCAGTTCAGTCACTCAGTCATGACTCTTCTCAACCCCATGGACTGCAGCACACCAGGCCTCAGAGAGCCTCAGGCCTGTCTTTTCTCCCAATGATCACATCTGATTGAGAAAACACACAAACACATCCTTTGCTCCCACCTTGGATCAGCTGGATAGTCCACGTTCCTGTCTTTTACATTTTTCCCTCAAAAGTCAGACATCAGTTCACAGAGCTACACCCCACCCCACCCCACCCTCAACTATATGAATTTCATAGCAAGATTCCTGAGGACCTCTTCCCACCAGATTTAGTTGAACAGAAAGGAGGCAGGGAGGGCTCACAACAGAGCTCTTCAAAGACATCCTCTATCCAATCCTTGCTTCCCATTTCCAACCCTATCCTTTAGAACTTGGATATGAAAAAGATTTAGAAACTTCCCTTGAAATTTTACAAATCCTCACAATCCACTCTGACATCTGGCATTTGTCATCTTAGGATCTTAGCTTAAATTTTCATTTATAACTTCCTTTCCAACCATAGCCCTGCAGGATGGCTCCCGCAAAGAAGGGTGGCAAGAAGAAGGGCCGGTCCACCATCAAGGAGGTGGTGACAAGAGAATACACCATGAACATTCACAAGCGCATCCATGGAGTGGGTTTCAAGAAGCGTGCCCCTAGGGCACTCAAAGAAATCCGGAAGTTTGCCATGAAAGAGATGGGAACTGCGGACGTGCGCATCGACAACAGGCTCAACAAAGCTGTCTGGGCCAAAGGAATCAGGAATATCCCATACCAGATCTGTGTGCGGTTGTCCAGAAACGTAATGAAGAGGAAGACTCGCCAAACAAGCTCTACACTCTGGTTACCTACGTGCTACCCGTCACCACCTTCAAAAATCTACAGACAGTCATTGTAGACGAGAACTAATTGCTGATGGTCCAATAAAGTTATTGAACTGCCAAAAAAAAAAAATTTTTTTTCATTTATAGATCCTGTTACAAGTGTTTTCTACTATCAGAGGGAATAAGGACTCATCAACAACATAGGTTCAGTTATGGAGAATAAAAGAAAGTTCAATTTTAACTCATTTAAGTTATCATTAAATGTTGGTCCAGCTTGATTCTTATTTACCCTCAGTACAATACATGCATGTCATAAGAGAGTCCTGAAAAACAGGACTCCTGTTTTTCTTCCCCCAAAAAACCCAATGGAAACAAGAGCAACTCTCTGGCCAATAAAGGAAAACAATACAGTGAAGGGATAAACAAGTTGGCAACCATCTGCAAAAACTTCAAGTTTCCTTTCCCACGTCAATATCAGAAAACATTTGTGTAGGGACTTCCCTGGTGGTCCAGTGACTAAGACTCTGAGCTCCCAATACAGGGGGCCCGGGTTAGAACCCTAGTCAAGGAACTAGTTCCCATATGCTGCAGCTTGGAGTTCACACGCTGCAACTAAAAGATGTGCGTGCTGAAAGAAGATCAAAGATCTTGGGTGCCGCAACTAAGACCCAGCGCAACCAAATAAATATATTTAAAGAAGTTTGTGTAGCCATAGCTCTGCAGCCTCAGAAAGTTATACAGAGAATAATTTCAACAGTTGATGGCTACTGCTTGGTCTGTATCGCTGAAGATGATCGGAAGCAAGAGGTAAAAATGTTCACAGACAAAAAAACAGACAGTGGATTCAGGGGCAATGGTGAAGACAGACAACAGTTCACCTGGGTTTGAACTTGAAGATTTGCTGCTTGCTCCACATCTCAGGAAATGCAAGAAGACTGAGCACAGACTAAATGTGCTCAGGGGCTTATATACGCCCTACAAAAGGAGTTAAGTGGTATTATTGAATATTTGCAAATTAGATCAATGTGGTAGAGTTTGTAGTCACATACGTTCTATGTGAAGTTAACTTCTAATGTTTGATGTCATTACTTTTAGTAATCTTCCTAACATAACTTCATGTCAGTATTATTAATAATATACTTCAGGTGTCACCAAGAGCGCTAGGAAAGGGAACTGTGCCACCCAGCAATATTCCATGGAAGCTGGAGGAACTCATGAAAGACTGTACAGAATAAGAGAACGGCCGCATTTGCCCTCTACGATGGCCCACACTCTGTCTGTCTATCTCTCTGTATCTGAATAAATCCATTTCTTAGCGCTTAGGAAACAAAAATAATAAGAGAACATTAGTATTTTAATTCTTTTACATTCTTGTGTTTGTTAATACATCTGAAGAATTCCTAGGGTGATATCAGAACAGTTAAGGGCTGTCACCTGGGGCTCACTCATGATCTACCTGTGTGTTTAGAAAATTTGCTTCTGTTCAGCAAAGTCATCTCACAATCCAGCTTTCTTCCCCTAGAACCTGACTAATCTACTCCCTTTTGTCCCTTCTATTTTATCACTATTGCCATATAGCAAATTACCCTAAAACTTAGAGGCTTAAAACAACCATTTCATTATGCTTGTGAATTTTGTGGATCAGAAATTTTAACAGGGCACAGCAAATATGACATGTCTCTGCTCTGTGACACTTGAAGCTTCAGTCAGGAAGTTTCAACAGCTGGCACTGACTATGGCATGGGAGGAAAAGATGTGCTGGAATCATCTGGAAGTATATTCACTCAAATGGCTAATAGGTGATGCTGCCTATCAGCTGAGACCCTGACTGGTTCTGAGCGCCTACACATGGCCTCTTGTGTGATATGGATTTTCTCTCAATATGGCAGTATGGGAATTTACATGGTGGCTCAGGGTTCCAAAAGCTGAATCTATATCACCTTTCTCGCCTTGCCTTAGGAGGCACACAGCATCGCTTCTGCTCCATTTATTGATTATTGAGGGGGTCAGAAGCCAGCCGAGATTCAAAGGGAGAGGGTACATACTCCTTGATGGGACGCATGTCAAAAAAACAGCAGCCAATTCTTAAAAACTACCATACCTCTTTTCACCAGTCTTTTAGTACTCAGAATAATGTTCTAAGTACGCCTCTCCTTTTGGCCATTATTTTCCCATTTGGGGTATTCAAGCAAAGGTAAGGCTTCTCTGAGATCAAGCATCCTTTCTTCCCCTTCTACCACTTCACCAAGCCAAGTACACACACAAGCACAGAAACATACATACTCACACACCACAGATTTCGGGGAATTGTCTGTGCTTGCATGCTAAGTCGTTTCAGTTATGTCCAACTCATGTGACCTATAGATGTAGCCTGCCACATCCTCTATCTGTCGGCTCCTCTATCTGTGGGATTCTCCAGAATAAGGAGAATTCACCTTCTCAAGAATACTGGAGTGGGTTGCCATGCCCTCCTCCAGGGGATCTTCCCAGCTCAGGGATTGAACTCGAGTCCATTATGTCTCATGCTTGGCAGGCAGGTTCTTGGCGGCTCAGATAGTAAAGAATCTGCCTTCAATGCAGGAGACCCGGGTTCAACCCCTGGTTCGGGAAGATCCCTCAGAGAAGGGAATGGCAACCCACTCCGGTATTCTTGCCTGGAAAACCCCATGAACAGAGTAGCCTGGCAGGCTATAGTTCATGGGGTCATAAAGAGCTGGACATGACTGAGTAACTAAGCAAGGGCCACCTGGGAAGCCCGTCAGGGAATTAACTAAGCAAACAAATCTCTGTTACACTTACAACTCAGGAAAATTGTCAGAGTCAACATTTTTTGTTTAGTTGCAAAGGGAAACAAATTGTGACTTGCTCACCATCAACATAGATTAAGCTTTCAATTTTTACACCTTCCAGGAAATTTTAGTAAGCTTTGCATCAACTCTTTTACATCAGTTTACTTGATTTTTTAAAAAATCATCCTTTTGCACACTAGCAATTGTTTCATGATACATATGTGTTTCATTATAATTATATAGCAATGTTTCAAGGTAAATGTTCTTTCTAGTTCATAACAGAGTAGTAAAATGCATAATCTATTAGCACTAAAATAATTCTTATCTTCTTAAAAAATATATATTCTTGATAGTTAATTAAACAATGACTATTGCTAAGGAAGTTGACAAAAATGTATTCACTCTGAAGCACTAAACTTCTTAGAAGCCCTTCACCATCTTTAAAAGAAATATTCCTTTTCTAATCATACTTTAGTTTGAGTTGAAAGCCATTTATTACACATCACTCTTTGATTCAGTAGATGTTTACAAATCACTCCAGTTTTTAACAAGCTGTTTCTTGTGAGTTCTTAGGGTATCATCTCCCTGATGACTGACAGACCCAACACCTTGGAGGATAACTATGCTGCCCACAAATCAATGAAAATACAAAAATAAGATACTGATAGACAATTTTTATTTAGTAAATTTGTCAAACAATTCTATAGCTATTTTTATCAGATTGTGCAAAGTTAATCCAGGAATTTCAACCATGTTCCTGATTAACAAGAATTGACAATGATAAATAGCATTGACAGTGAAATAGAAGAAACAAAATGTTCCAAAGTTATCCAGGCTGGTTTAATGCAACTTATCCCAGGAGAATGAATCCATATCTCATAGAAGAGTTTACATGTATAAGACTAGGTTAGAGGTAACTGATATAAAGCAGAATGTGAATGCCATAAGAGAGATTCAGAGTGCTTTGGGGATTAAAAGACTAAAAGCGCAGAGGTTAGAGGAATCATGAAAGATTTCATAGAAGTGGCTACAAACAAGCTTCCAACCAACTGCTTGGGATTCCACCCTTAAATATGAATGAACGCTTTATCAGATTTTTAACAGCTATTTCTGGAAGACAACAACATGGAAGAGAGAATTCACAACAAGCAAACATGAAAAGAAAGGGAGAAATAACAGAAAAATTCAAGGAATGGAAAGGGAAAAGGGGATAAACAATACAGTGAAGAGATAAAAACTGACAAAAAGAATAACCTTAGCTAGAAGGTGTATCCTTAAAAACAATGCTACAAAAACAGATAATCCAGGAACAAGAAACAGCTCTTAAAATCTATACACTGAAAAAGTTTTGATTAAATAGAAGGGTTGGAAAATAGTCTTCCCAGAAAGTATGAAAAAAAGAGATCAGGGGAACAAGGGATAGATGAAAAATACAAAAGGTAAGAAAATCAGAATATTAGCCCAGATTATGGAATATCTGGTCATTCTAAGTGCCAGAAAGAGAAGAAAAGAAAAAAATTAAAGAGTGATAATCTAAGAAATAATTCAAGTGGAGCTCAGGGTTTCCCTGGTGGCTAGCTGATAAAGAATCCACCTGCAATGCAGGAGATCTGATTTCGATCCCTTGGGTTAGGAAGATCCCCTGGAGAAGGGAAAGGCTACCCACTCCAGTATTCTGGCTTGGAGAATTCCACGGACAGAGGAGCCTGGTGGGCCACAGTCCATGGGGTCACAAAGAGCCAGACATGACTGAGCGACTTTCACTTCACTTCAGTGGAGCTGAAGGACCCAAATCTATAGCTTTAAAAGACTCACCAAATGATCAGCACTATTAATTTCAGATGTCTCACTCCAAGGACAACATCCTACAGTTACTGATCATTGGGAATTACGTGAAAATCCTTTAAGTCTTCAGAAGAGAGAATAAAAGATCACACACAAGTGAACAGGAATGAGAATGGCTTGAACTTCTCAGTAATGACCTTGTTGTTGTTTTTGTAGTTGTTATCGTTGTCCCTATTGTTCGGTCACTCAGTCCTGCCCGACTCTTTGTGACCCCATGAACTGCAGCAAGCCAAGCTTCCCATTCCTTCACCATCTCCCAGAGCTTGCTCAAACTCATGTCCGTCGAGTCGGTGATGCCATCTAACCATCTCATCCTCTGTCGTCCCCTTCTCCTCCTGCCTTCAATCTTTCCCAGCATCAGGGTCTTTTCTAATGAGTCAGCGCTTCCCATCAGGTGGCCAAAGTATTGGAACTTCAGCTTGAGCATCGGTCCTTCCAGTGAATATTCATG